TAAGGCAGATCAAGAATGATTTTCTCCTTTTGAATACACACAAAGCCAGGGAGGGGGACGTTCCCCAGGAGATGTCAGGGGGTGCTGGCTCTGAGGACAGGATCTCTCTGGCTGGGAGGCCCTGCTAAAGCACAAATCCCCCGTTCCCACCCACCAGGCACAAACCCTGTGCCCTGAGCCCGTGCACAAGGGCCAAGACAGGCGGGAGCAGAGGCCCAGCAGGCAAATCCCCAAATCCCCCGTTTGGGATCCGTGCTGGATCTGCAGAGCAAAGCAGGAGATGAAACGTGCTGGGGGATCTCTGGCTGCTCAGTCACCAGGCTGGCTCTGCCCAGCAGGATTGCACCTTGCCCACGCTGAGGGGGATGCCAGCACACAGCCCTGCACACCTGCCTCATCCCTTCCTCTTCCTCCTGCCTGCTGGCACTGCAGGAGAACATCCTCAGAGCAAGTCTGAGCAAGAAAAGAGCCTCCTGCAGATGGCCTGACTCAGAGCACGCCTGCCAGGGAATCCAGGCACAGCCCTGGGCCAGGAGGGAGAGGTTCCATTGCTGGAAGTGTTCTTGGGCAGGCTCTGGGGATGTTTGAGTCCTCCTGAGTTTTCCACACAGCCCTGCCTCTGCAGCTCCTCCAGGATCTGCCGTAAATTCACAGGGAACGAGCAGATTGTAGGAACAGTTCTGCTTTCCCCTACAAAATGACCTTGCAGGAGAGTCTAAACCCCCCTGTTCCTCCTGCCTCACTCCCCCGAGCCCTTGCACTCAGTTCAACTGGGAAATTCTGCTTTTTCCAGAACATAACCTCACTTTTTCACACTCTTGCCCAATTACTGGGAAAACAAAGAAGCTGTTGAGTGCTGAACAGAGATTATCATCTGCTCTACAGAATTCCTGCTGCTGTCCCTTGCTGAAACCCAAGGAGCTCCATTCCATTGGGAAACTATTTTCAAGGTCTGAGACTGAGAGTAAAAGAAAACAAAAAGACCAAAAGTAAACCCCACGTTTTTACCCGAAAACTCGGCAATATGATGCGAGGTGAATGCGTTCCCTCGCTGGGGTGTTGATCCGTGGGGCTGCAGCTGTAAATCCCCTCCAGCCTGGCTGAGTGCCAGAGCTCTGGGGAGCCCTGGGGAGCCCTGGGGAGCCCTGGGGACCCAGCCCAGGCCAGGGTGGGGCACAGACGGTGTCAGGATGCTCGGAGCAGGCTGGCATTGCAGTCAGGCTGGTGCACAGAGGGGTGAGCTGGCTCCTGTCTCCCACGCGTGTCCCCGGAGCACCGAGCCCTCCCCACACCTCCCACGGCACCACGAGCAGCAGGAGCTGCTCCCACACAGGAACGTGGGATCCATCCTCCCTCTCTGGGGCTCACAGACCCCTCGGGCTGGAGGGGGCAGAGATGCCCTGTGCCCACCCAGTGAACTCCTCAGAGGTGCTGGTGTCCCCCAGGTGCCCCCACACCAAATTAAACGCCTCTGCCTCAGAACCAACCCTCAACTTCCTCCTGCCTAACGCTGGATGAGATCAGCCCTGCCTTGTGCCTCACCACGGGGACTCCTCTGGCCCAAAGAGCCGAGATTCATTCCTGGGGTCACCCTGACAGGCTGGCAGCAGAGTAACTGCCCGTGGCTGGAAGAACACGCACGGTAATGGCCTCAGAGCCCTCAGATGGCAGGCAGTGATGCACTGCCCAGTGGAATGTCATGAAGAGCCATAAATCCCCATCCTGCAGGAGCCTGGGGATGTCAGACGTGTGAATATGCTGATTTGGTATCCATGGTACTTTGGCATGTCTCACATCTTTGTCTTCTGCCCAAAATAGATGAGCTCTTAAATATTACTCAGCACTTGGAGTTCTGCCACAGCACAGAAGACAGTTGAGAAAACACCAAAAATGTGTCTCCCAGTGCAGAGAAATACTGAGAGAAACTTCACTGGCTTTGCTCAGTCTGGGGGCAGAGCCTGCAAGGCAGGGTGAGGTTATTTGGCTGGAGTGGAGGGTGTAACACAGGGACTGGAACTGAAAAAGGACAGAACCTGCTCATCTAAATAGGACAAAATAGCACAAAACCTGCTCATGTAAATAGGAATAGGACAAAATAGCACAGAACCTGCTCATGTAAATAGGAATAGGACAAAATAGCACAGAACCTGCTCATCTAAAGCCCTGGCTGAAGCTCTCACCTCTCCTTACAGGTACTGGGTGGTCACTTCAAGCTGAACTCAGGAAATCTGTCACACAATTATTTCCCAAAATCCAAGTATTTCAGGCACAATCCTAAGGACAGAACCCCTCGGTCCTTTGTGACAGCCCAAGCCCCCCTGTGACAGCACAAACAGACAATCAGGTCATGTCACAGACAAAGACAAAGCCACACACGAGCACAAGCAGGTCCTGCAGCAGGTGTGAGGTGTTCACCACTCTCACCACTCAGCAGTGGGCTGAAATCTGCCATTAAGAAACTGGAAATGAACATTATAGCACTGTTCAAAACCCGGGTGGATTTACAGGCAGCTGAAAGGTAAATTCTAAGGCCAGTCCATTCTGATGTCTATAAACAGCCACAATATTCATTTCTTCAGAGGACAAAACCTTTTATTCAGTTTGGAAAGCACCACCTGGCTGTGGTGGATAAACAGGCTGCATTCCCAGTGCCCACTCTCCCACCTTCCCAGGGACAGGGAATGTGCTCTGGAAAAGGTGTGGAAACCCCTGGCCCACCTACAGGAGAGCAGAGCCCCTTTGCAGCTAAAGAAGGGAGAGGAGGTTTTGGTCTCACCTGGGAGGGAACTGGGAAGAGCTTTTTGTCCAGCAGGCTGCTGGGGGTGCCTCAGGGCTCTGAGGTGAGGATAACTCACCTGTCTGAGCCAAAGGGCTGGGTTTACAGCCCTGCTCAGGGATCTCCGTGGGCTTGCTGGAGGCTAGCAGGACACCCCCCACTCCGTGGAGCATCACTCCTGGGGCACCTTTGCTTCCTGACCCTAAATCTGCTCTGATGTGGAAGGACATGACCATAAAACTCCTCTGGGATGGGGACACCCTGTGTGAAATGTCACCCATGGGTCCTTCCTTGAGCCACTGCAGCTCCCAGCCCACCTGAGGTTCCTCTGCCTCCCTTCCCTCGGTGCAGAGCTGCACTGGGATTGCAGGGTATTGGATTACAAATCTGAAATTTCGGGGTATTGGATTGCAGGGTATTGTGTTACAAATCTGGGATTGAAGGGTATTGGATTACAGGACTGGAATTTCAGATTATTGGATTACAGGACTGGAATTGAGGATACTGGATTACAAATCTGAAATTTCAGGGTATTGGATTGCAGGGTATTGGATTACAAACCTGGAATTTCAGGGTATTGGATTGCAGGGTATTGGATTACAAATTTGGGATTGTAGGATACTGGATTACAAATCTGAAATTTCAGGGTATTGGATTACAGGACTGGGATTTCAGGGTATTGGAGCACAAATCTGGAATTTCAAGGTACTGGAATATAGGATATTGGATTACAGGACTGGGATTTCAGGGTATTGGATTACAAATCTGGGATTGCAGGGTATTGGATTACAAATCTGGGATTGCAGGGTATTGGATTACAAATCTGAAATTTCGGGGTATTGGATTACAAATCTGGGATTACAGAGTATTGGATTGCAGGGTATTGGATTACAAATTTGGGATTGTAGGATACTGGATTACAAATCTGAAATTTCAGGGTATTGGATTACAGGACTGGGATTTCAGGGTATTGGATTACAAGTCCCACGGGTGCTGCCTCAGCCTCAGTAAACTTTATTTAAGCACACACAGACATACACAGACAATATACATATATTTGTTTCTTCTCTGACAGTTCTACAGGACCAACACTACTTTGGATGACACTCGTGGAGAGCTGGAAAAAGTGCAGGAGATGTAGGAAAAAAATGAAATAAAATAAAATATCAAGGTCCTTTAATCATTTGTGAGTCACGGTCATCCACAGAAACAACACAGGAGCGTTCAACCAGGCGAGCACGAGGACACAGCTCCACATACAGTACATTGGTCTAGAGAGGAATCTCCAGGTACATTGTGTCTACAGGGGGTACAGCAGTCTTGGGGACACAAAAGGGGACAGGAATGGCACATGCACCCCCAGTGTCACAGCCAGGGCACCGCTGGGGGGACAGGAGGACACTCCGAACACGTCTCACTGTACACCAGAAAAACTCACCAAAGAGGCAACAGCGTGATGGATAAACATGGCCCAGGGTGCTGGTGTCACCAGGACACAGCTCTGGTGTCACCAGGAGACAGCTCTGGTGTCACCAGGACACAGCTCTGGTGTCACCAGGAGACAGCTCTGGTGTCACCAGGACACAGCTCTGGTGTCACCAGGACACGGCTCTGGTGCCACCAGGACAGGGCTCTGGTGTCACCAGGACAGGGCTCTGGTGTCACCAGAACCCCCAGGACGTTTGGTTACTTGTGGTAAAGGGCTGTCTCTCCACAGATATTTATATACAGTACATGTACACAGAACATACACAGAGCAGCATATGTATATTTTTGTGTTTTCCTGTTTGTACATTATATCACAGATTATAGGAACACGGGAAATATAGGCTTCAGGAGCTAAAAAGAAATAATTTTATAAAATATTCATCATAACCCCCCCGCCCCCACTCCGTTTCAATCTAAATAAATCAATAAATCAAATAAAAGCCCAGAAGTCAAAGAAAAGAACTCCAGCCCCACGGTCTGGAGATGGTCACTGCCTGCCCTGGGCCAGCTGGACATTCCTTCCCCTTTAGGAGCAGCCAGGAAAACACAAAGCTGGAGGAACAGTCGCACTGCAAAGCCAGGTGGAGCCTGGCATCGCCCCTGCCAGGACCCCCAGGTCCTGCCCGAGCCCAGCCCTGACCCTGCAGCCCCAATTCCTGGGCTGACCCTGCTGCCAGCTCACAGCTTTGGATTTAAAACATTCTTTTTATTTAGCAAAAAATGGTTTCCACTGTACCCTTCGTGTGTCCTCGTCCTAACGTGACAAACCCGGAGGAGATGAAATTATGGAGATCTGGCCCTCCACTGCGATAAATATCCTTTCCATAGTGACCTGCCAGGGAAAAGGAAACAAAAACACCTTCAGTCACTCTGTCTGTGGGGATATACATGTATTTAAATCTTTATATATTTCTATATAAAAATATTTATATGTTTATTATTTATATAGTTATATAAAATATATTTAGATATAAATATATTTATATATTGTATGTATTTATATACTTTTATATATTTACGTATTTTTATATATTTATATATAAAATATCTATTATATATTATTATATATAAAATGTACATATACATATACATATATAATATATTTTATATAATTGTCTAATACATATTTATATATATAATATATTTCTTTATATTTAAAATATGTCTTTATATAAAATACATGTAATATATATTATTACATTATATACAATATATATTATATATTATATATATACAATTATATATTATATATATTTATATGTTTTATATATTTTATATATATATAAATATATCATTTTATAAATTACATATATTTTATATATTTTAATATATATTATTTATATATTTATATATCTTATATATATATATATAATATTTTTTTAGTATCTATTTATATAAGTGCTATTCAGCCCTGCTGTCACCCTCATACACACTGCACAATTCCTGGCACCCTGAGGGTGGCACAGCAAATGATACCTGTGGCAACATCACAGCCTGAATTCTTTGTTGGCAAAGATTTATGAAGAAGAACAACTGCACATTTTGGAAATTACCCAGGAATGAACAGAATCTACGAGGGGAAGCACCAAAGTGCCAAATCAAACAGCCCAATCTTGAGGAGATTGGCTCATCCCTGGCTCAGATCCATGTTTGCTCTCCCATGGCCTCACTCACACCTCCAAAGAGGTGAAGGGAAGCAGAGGAGGTCCCAGCCAGACCCTGAGAGCATCCCAGCAGGGATTTTGTCCCCACGTGCCGGTGCCACCCCTGTCCAGGCTGCTCCCAGTCCCCAGGAACGGCAGGACAGCAAACTTGGATTTTAGCTTTGGTTTGCTCTGCTCCATGCGTGACATCCCTGCCCAGCTCCTCAAAAAACTTCCTCAGAGCTTTCTCAGTCCCTGACTACAGAGTAAGTTCAAGAGACACCCAGATTTTTAATATTTTAATACATTAATAAAGGAATAAAAAAGCATCCTGGCGCCTTGTTACCATGCAAAGCTCTGAAATGAGGACACAGATAATTTTTCAGATACTCTTTATCATCTCCTCCCTTTTTCATGTTCTTAGTTTTGCTGTTCCTATTATTTCAGGAAGAGGCAGAGATAAGATAGGTGCAGGGGGAGGGAAGCCTCGGGGGTTGGGAATTCAGCTCAGTCCCAGGGAAATTCCACTTTTCCCCGATTTCCTGCAGTGGCAGAAGGCCCTGGGCTGGAGCAGAGCTGGGTCAGGCAGCTGTGGGCAGGACCAGGAGGGCATCAGGATCCAGGTGGGAACAGCCTGTCCTGCCCGGCCCCCCTGGGCTCCACAGCCCTGCTCTGTTTTGCAAGGACACCAAAAGCTGTTTGTTCCCACCAGGTTCAGGCTCAATGGGAATGAAGAGAGGCTTTGGGAGCTTCCCTCACCCCCTCACAGCCAGGCACTGTCCCCAGCCCCAGCAGTTATGGGTTTATCACAGCACCCACCTGTCCTCCAAGGACCCCAAATGTCACAGAATCCCAGACTGGTTTGGGTTGGAAGGGACATTAAAACTCATCCCATCCCTGCCATGGCAGGGACCCCTTCCCCTGTCCCAGCTGCTCCCAATGTCCAGCCTGGCCTTGGGCACTGCCAGGGATCCAGGGGCAGCCCCAGCTGCTCTGGGCACCCTGTGCCAGCCCTGCCCACCCTGCCAGGGAGTGATTCCTGTCCAAAATCCTATCCAGCCCTGACCTCTGGCACTGGGAGCCATTCCCTATGTCCTGTCCCCCCACCCCTTGTAAACAGCCTCTCCGTGTTTCCTGGGGCTCCTTCAGGCCCTGTGAGGCCACACTGAGCTCATCCCAAAGCTTCTCCTGTCCAGGTGAACATTCCCAGCCTTCCCTCCCAGCAGAGCTGCTCCATCCCTCGGATCATTTGGTGCCTCCAGGTCCTCTCTGTGCTCTCCCCTGAGCCCCTCTGTTCTCCCCCAGTGGGTCAGAGCAGGCTCCAGCCCCATCCCCAGCAGGGGCCAGGCCAGGAGAGGCTGGCACAGGCTCTGCCACCCCAGGGATGGTGCTGGAGAGCCTGAGGAGCTCCCAGGAGGTGCTGACACTTCTGACAAACCTTCATTCCCATCTAATAGAGGAGCCATCCCACTCCCTTCCCACACGGGCTTGTTCTGCTCAAGGTCAGCCCAGCGCTCCCTGGAGACCTCACCAAACACACCCAAAGGGTTTCCACAGCTTTGGGAGTGCCTGCAGCTCCCAATTCTCTCCTCACAGCTGTGGCAATGTGAGGTGGTGGCAAAAAACCAGAAATCCCCCAGAAATTCCCTGAGAAGGGCATCCAGAAAAAAGACAGAAGGATTTTCTACTTCCATGGCAAACATCATGGGTTCTCTCCCTTTTCTTCCTACCTCCCTCCTGCAAGCTCTGCCTTCTGGATTCCCGGGAAAGGAGGCAGAGCTCTGGGTGCCTGGAATTCTTTGTGCTCCATGAGATGTCCATGCTGGTCCTGAGGAGCCTCCAGAGGTGCTCTGGGGCTGCAATGCCCAACTGGATTTCCTTTTCTCTATCACTATTCTAAAATACGCTGCATCTTTGCTTTCCAATGAGCCAAGTTCTGCTCCTGTCCCAGGAATTTCTGTGCTCTCAGAGCCAGCCACTGTGGCTCTGAGCAGTGCCAGAAATCCCGTTTGAAACCAGAATAAAAGAACCACACAAATATTGCTGCTACCTCCAGCTGAAATCAGCTGCCTTTTACAGGTCCCTTCGGAGAATCTGCTTAAGACAGATCAAGAAGGGGAAGTTTATAAAAAAGCAAACATTTGCTGGCAGATTGAGGATTGTTCATCAGCCATTTGCTCTCTGAACCTTGCTCTGCCCCTGCTTATGGAACACTGTAGTTCAATTAAAACATCCCTGTGATAACGAGCCATTAGCATTTGAACAGGAGTTACATTTTCCCAGGAGAAACTCAAATTTGCAGACTTCAAGCAGCATGACTTTTCCCTTTCCACGGATGTATTATAGGATGCTAAGTTTGCTTTATGGTTTATTTTTTTGTTTTATTTTTTTCATTCCTGCTCACTTGTGATCATTTCTTTTGGCCTTGTAAAATTCTGGGAGAATTCTGGGAATGGCTTTTCCTTTCAGAAGGGCCTGGGGGCTGCTGGGGGCCAGATCCAGGTGTTGTTATTCAATTTATTTGCCACAATCCCAGCTTGTGCAGGGTGTTTCCCACTGGATGTGCAGGGTCCCTTGGAGCAGCCCCAAATGCAGGTGCCCAGCAGAGCAGTGGGAGCCAGAGCAGGAAATTCCCCATTTCCTTCTCCCTTCTCCCTCCAGCTGTGCTCTCCCCAAGGTGCTGGGAGTCCTTCCAGAGCTGCCAGAGGGGGCTCAGCCCCGAGCTGATGGAGCTGCCTGGGCCATGGGCTGGGAAGCAGCTCCTGGAACTCATCCCAGATGTTCCCAGTGACCAGGCTGAACCTCGGTGTTGCCCTCTGCCCTATGGTGATAGATAAAAAATGCCAGTCCTTGAAAAGCTGGTGTAGATGGAATGTATTCCATTTTATTTCAGATGTCAGGGATTTTTCATAGAATCCCAGACTGGTTTGGGTTGGAAGGGACATTAAATCCCATCCCATCCCACCCCTGCCATGGCAGGGACACCTTCCCCTGTCCCAGGCTGCTCCAGCCCCAATGTCCAGCCTGGCCTTGGGCACTGCCAGGGATCCAGGGGCAGCCCCAGCTGCTCTGGGCACCCTGTGCCAGCCCTGCCCACCCTGCCAGGGAACAATTCCTGCCCAATATCCCATCTAAACCCACTCTGTCTCTGTGAAGCCATTCCTGTGTCCTGTCCCTCCAGCCCTCGGGAATTGTCTCTCTCTGTGTTTCCTGCAGTTCCTTCAGGGCCTGGAAGATCACAACGAGGTAACCCCAAAGCTTCTCCTGTCCAGGTGAACATTCCCAGCTCTCCCAGCCTTTCCTCCCAGCAGAGCTGCTCCATCCCTCTGCTCACCCTGGAGCCTCCTCTGGGCTCTCTCCAGGCTGGGGCAGCTCTGCAGGTGGGGTCTGAGCTGAGCACAGGGGCAGAACCCCCCTCCCCTCCCTGCTGCCCACGCTGGGGCTCAGCCCAGGGCAGGGGGGGGTTCTGTGTCCCAGCTCTCACCCACAGCACCCCCAAATCCTTCTCCCAGGGCTGCTCCCTCCGCTCACCCAGCATTGTCCCCTCCTGCCACCCGCAGCCGTGGCCCTTCCACGTGTCCTCGTTTGCCCAGGGGTCTCTGCCTGCACATTTTGAGGCTCTGGGAATGAAACCCCAGCCCCAGAGCTGCTCCTGACGGGGCCCCACAGCACGAACAGCCCCCAAAGCAAAGCAGCCCCTGCCTGACCCCACGGCACACGTGTTGCTCCCTGCCCACGCGGATTTTGCATCTCAGTTATCCTGGCTGGGATCAGATTTAAAGTGGTGCCCAGAGCCCTGTGTTTGACCTTCTGGAAGAGGCTTTTCCTGCTCTTTTGCTCCCTGCTCTGGCTCAGGCTCGGCTCCATGTGCTCTAATGCCTGTGAGCCCCTGGACTCGGCACTCGCTCCCCGGCTTTGGGGCTGGGGCAGAGCTGTGGCACCAAAGCAAAGCAAGATCAACACTTACACAACTCCAAACTCCCAGCAGAGACTGAAACAAGGTGGAATTTCACTTCTTTCCCCCCCCTCCTCTGGTTACAAGACAGCAGAGTGCTCTGCCTGCCACACAATAATTCAAAATTCTTCAGGGCACAGAGCTCGGAGGGAACATTTCATTACAAAAGCATCCTACAGAACACACATATGGAACAACCTCGGCCACAAACTGCAATTACATCCCTGGCTCTGC